TGATACCAAACGTGTTGGGCTCCGAGCCGTTTCCAATCCAGAAATAAGCGTCTGGACCGGCGCCGTCGTAATGCAGATTCGGAATGTAAATAGTTTTGCAATCTAGGATCGTGATATTCCCGCTACGGAGACCGTGCGCCAGCCTCGAGAATTCAGGCAGCATCTTTGCCTTCGGCACTTTCAGATTCATCGGGATGAAAACGTCCCCGAAGTTCACCTACGGTAAATTAAACGTGTACATTGCTGGATGATGGCGAGATTACACCGTGGAGGATTAAAAGTTCAATTACCAACGAAGCTCGTTATATGTAACGTGACAAGTCTTCTGTAAATCTTTTCTTTTTAGAGTTTTTCAGATTCCTCGACGTTGTGCTCCTTGGCCATTTCAATGAGGAATCAAACGTACGTAACGCGACGTAGATGATTGATTGACTTCTATATATATAATCTTTGCTTAACTTCTGCAATACCTCTTCGTTGAGGTCATTTCTTTCGAGGACTTATGTGAGACGAAATTTCGCGAGAAAGTTAAACGAATCGAAGGTTCGATTTCCCTCTCGAAGGTAAAGGATCGAGAGGAGTGAAAGAGAGAGAGAGAGAAATTTCCGGCATCGAACAGGAACCGTCTCATCAAGCTGTCTTTCAGAGACCGCATATTTACACCCTGCCAGTCGAAAAAGTCGATCTATCATTCTTTACCCCCTGTTGAAGCTGACGTACCGATAGGGGCTGGTTTGGAGGGGCGGGAGGGGGGGAGAGAGGTCGTTTATATTCTAAGTTCCGTCAAACGTCTGAATAAGCGGGACGAGGAAAGGAAAGCGTGGAAGTGGAACGAGGAAAACGAGAAGGAGAAACGCGCAAATGGTCGAGGTGGAGGTTTTGAAAGGAGAGAAAAGGGAGAAAGTAAGAGAAAAAAAAAAAAAAAAAGAAAAGAAAGAGGGAAGAAAGATCTCGAGCGAGACCTCGTAAAATCCGAGAAACGGATTCCACCCCGTATATACAGGGTGATCTGCTCGCTTATCCCCGGGGGGACGTTTTATGGGCGAAAATTCAGGGCTCGCGACGATTTCTCAACTCATTCCTTAAACCTGGACAAATCTATTTCGCGTACGAATACGATTTTATTCCGCTTCCCCCTTTCTCTTCCCTCCTCTTATCCCTCGCCTCGTTTTCGTCTCTCGCTTCTAACCTTTGTTTTGTTCAGTCTGTTCGTCTAACGTTTAACGAGAATTTCCAACTTAATTTAGTTTCTTTATGTCGTTCAATACTTCACGCGAATGTTTCAGAACGATTCAAGTAAAACGAATGTGATCGATGAGGAGATTGTTGAGTAAACAGACAAGATGAAAGTGAAATAAATTTCGTAAGCAGTCAACACTTTAACGCTAAACTTGGAATTAAATTCAGGCACGGAACAAAGGGAAAATTTTTAACGCAATGAAAAAACACAAGGCGTTGTTTCGTAATTTCTATAGAAAGAAGAAATTACGAAATCAGATCATTTTTGACTACCTTGATAATTCTAGTATTTGGAAACATACATGTATAAAGAATTGTTTCACTTCGATTTGAGTTTCGATCCGAAAATATTCTCTTCCATTTTCCTTTCGTCTCTTTCAACTATCCAAGAATTTCCCGATAGGATTAAAGATCCTGCACGTGCACGATTAACCGACTCTATCGGTCGCTATTTTTCTATTGTCTTTTTTTCTTTTTTCTTTCTTCTTTTTTTTTATCGACTCCTCGAAAAGTGTGCCAAGAGTCGAAGATTGAAAAGTCGGTGAATATCTTCGACGTCTTCGATATTCCGCTCAAGGCTACTGTATACGTGGCCTGATTCCGCCCGTTTCGAGATGTTCTTTGGAACCGACTGTCGCCGACTTTTGTCTACAAAAGGAATCGATATCGCGCGATACCTTGAACTGACGATATGAGTTTTTCCGTATCAGGGTCGTTCGATTCGTTAAATTATTTGCTTTTCCCTTTCGATCAGCCTTCCCTGTCGCGGGGGAGGGAAAACGTCGCTCCGATTCGGGGGCCACGAAATCTCCAAGCGAACTGCTCTCCTGGCAACTTTGCCTATTTTATTGCCTCGAAAAGGCACGAAGAAACTTTGGAGAATCACTTCTTAGAAACTAGTTCTTCCCGTTGGTTTGCAACCAGAGAGACCCATCAGGAAATATTCTGCATCGAATACTGGCGAGTGATTCTTTAAAAAAAAGGTCACTCTCGGAATCGAGAGTGAACGAGAGTGCCTCTCCGACTAGACGATCTACCATCTACAATTATCTTTTAATCGCAACGATGCTCGTTGAAACTCATCTTTTCTCGCATTCTTATTTTTCTAATACCGTGCGATCATAAATTTCGAGATGAAAGAATTTACATTCTCATTGGTTGCATATTAAATGCACAAACGACGATCAATTTTGAACGAAATGGTCTACGGAACGAAAAATTTGTTGCTCGAAACGTTCGTCGATTCGGTGGTCGAAAAACCTTCGCGAACAGATCGATTAATAATTTCCCCGACGAGGTCGGAAGTTACCGGGTAAGAAAACTTCTTCATTAACCGAACCAGCGCGCCTCAAAGGGGCGGGCAGCAGCGAGACGACGCGACGTCGCTTTCAGAATTTAATCTCCCATCGATGTACTACTCCTTTCGGCCATTCAACCGGCAAATTAACGTTGACCTTTCTTCGATAATTTTTTTTTTTTTTTTTTTTAAACTTCAGCCCAGAGGTTCCCACGGCGAACGGAATCAAACATTTGGACGAGCCAATTAGAAACGACGGAACAAATTGGACTTTGCGCGAAACTTTTCGCCATCTTTGTCATCTCCGGAGGTCGTTCGGAGCGGCTTGGTATTATGTCGACGCCCGGAAAATAGAGTGGCTCGGCTTCTCTTCGAGCTCCCTCTCTCTCTCTCTCTCTC